GATTTAAAAAACATCTATAATAATGACTGATACATACGAATAGCGAAGCTTTTTTATCTTGCCCTCGATACCTCTCTGAAAAAGGCCAGGGAAACGGTGTAGCAACTGACTCCTGCGGTCTCCGGGATAATTTAGGCCAAAGGATAATGATATACACCATTGCATTGGATCCTGGATCTCAACCAAACCTCAGCCACGACCACTAGGATCAACTCCATGAATTCGAACCAAAAATTCGAACTACGTTGCCTTTTGTGGAAGGGCGGTGCTGATTACCTGGGCACTATTTGGCGCATTTTAGCACGTGGCATTCACAAATCTGTCACAGGCTTTCCCTACTTTCTGGTTCTCTGTTTGTAGACTCGTAACCAGTCTGTAAACAAATTCCGAAAAATGCGGCAAGCGCTTTCGATGTGCCGCATATTTTCGGGATTTATTTACAGACTGGTTACGAGTCTACTCTGTTTGTTGGTCAATATCAAGTTACAGAGTTTAAAACGTGGTCGGGCATACCTATACTCCATTTCCACCGCGGTGTTGCCACGGGGTGTCTGTATTTCCTTCGGCCCAACAAAGGGCATTTCAGGTCCAGCTGCCAACATTATTTGGACGTTGACGTTTATCAGCAGCAGCGTGAGTTTCCGGACCATTCTGCATCAAAGATTCTTGAACAGACCCTGTTCTTTCCAGATGCGGGCCTGGTCGGAATATTCCCGCGTTGCCTTCCGGCCGCATTCTGCCCACAAGAGCCAGTATCCTTCCACAGGCTCTCCGACCGTGCAATCACCAAAGCCGATTAATCGCCAAATGCCCTATTTCTAGATAATGCTTTGCTTTCGGATCTCCGGCATATACGGATATCTGCAAATTCTCAAGAAGCATTGGGTTGAAGTCTGCCCCCCAGTTCTGTCTTGAGTGTCTCACTCATCCAACCATTTTTCGAATAACCCCGCCTGCGCGTTCCAAAGGAGTCGCGAGCCATTGCACATCAATGTTCCGGCGATTAGCATCGTCGGCGGTGGAAACAGCGACACATTTACGATGGACTGAACCCCCACCGCTCTGGATTGGTCTCAATGTTATGGCCTCTCTGGGCAAGATGCTCAAGTATGCTACCAAACCTGCACTTCTTCGCTGCGTTCTGTTCCATATAAACCGCCTCTTTCAGTGATGAGGAAAAAAAAACGCAATCTCTAGATCTCACTATACTCTCTTCCGCGGAGTATCTGCGTATAGCCGTGTGTTATATTCGGCCTTCTGCGATTCCCGGGAATACTGTCGTCCATGACTACTTACGCGACGTTCCCGGGTGAATCCATTTCTCGTGTCGAAGTTCCCTCATCCATTGGCACTGCCTCCGGCATAGGGAATCACCGACTGAGAATCCACGGTGAGAAGATAATAACATCTCTCTCTGATCGTTGGATGGCAGATAAGGGGTGAGAGGATCTTGAAGGTGGCAGGCTCCACCTCTGGTCGCTGTAATTCTTCTATAAAGGCTGGAATTTCGATTCTCATTCTCCGGTTCAACATGCATACAATGTTCTCGAAGTCGCTCATCCTCGTTGCGTCGCTACTTGCAGCTTCAGCGCTGGCCATTGGACCCACCCCCGTACGGTACTTATGAAGATATCGCTACAATTGACTCACTACGAAGTACTGCATAGGACGTCGGAAATACGGTTGTGGTGTGCGGTGCTAGCACCGGCGCCGATGGATGCCGCCAAATTTCAGTCAACTCGGCTGCGTGCCAGAGCTTCAACGGCCGTCTCAGCTTCCTGAATAATACGGTTTCCACTGCGAAAATCCCTTTGGGGTTCGTCTGCACCTTCTTCGAGTGTGTTTCTTTGTTTTGAACTGGAAAGCCTTGAACTTATGTCCTCACAGCGCTGAGGAGTGCACCAGCAAAGCAGACAGCAAAGCAGACTCAGACGTGGTCCTTCTTGATGGCGGGACCTGGGACTTCTCCTCTGTCCCAGGAATCTCTGGCACAGTCGACTTCACTGACAGGGCGAGCTCGTTCACCTGTTCTCCCGTCTAGCAGAGAGTCATATTTATAAATCATTGTGCGAGCCTGATCGCGAGTGCCTACACGGCAGTGAGCGAGGCAAAGAGGACGCGCGAGTTCGAGAACATGTATATGCGAATGCTTGCGGACCGACGAACTCGAGAACTTAGGATTGAAGATCCTCCTTTCTTTACAACTTGAATAGTCTACGTTAGCAAGTCGGCTGGTAGCTGGATACTTGAGAAGATGGACCCAAGTGAGTCGGAGAATCCTTGTTTCCGATGCAGTACCGATGCATAAGCAACTTCTTCGGAAATGTCAAATTGGCGGTAACGTCGCGCTGATTGCTGGTCTGGCAGCAGCCATAATTGTTCCGGTAAGCATGGAAAGGTTTAATAGGCCCAGATATTTTCGGGAAGTGAGGTTACGCGTGTAGGGGCCGCACAGACCTGGGCCGCAGAGCGGAAAAAAGAAGGGCACGTTCGTTACTATTTCTGAGTTCCCTAATATTCCCAATATTGATACGGATCGTGAAGTGGGCTGGTGTTTATACACTATAAAACATACGCTGCAGTGTGCAACAAGCGGTATGAATTGCTGGAGTACTGCTTCGACGGCTAGCGAGTCTTTTGAGACACGCAAGTGGGCAAGTAGTTTGAATGAAGGAGAGTTGAGAGTCTGGAGAGTTCAACAAACGCCGACGCCGATCAATATCATCTCAAGATTTCCCGTTCGAGAACTGAATAAGGAGGCCTCTTGTTGCATCGACACCTTAATTTTGCGCTGGAAGTCAGATATGTCTCGAGTTCGTCAGCCTAAATTGAATGGAGCATTGAGCGATTGAAGGGCTGCGGACCCCTATGGAATAAGATTGAGTATTGTGATGGCGGACGCTTGAATTTTAGAAGCCGTGGATGTTCGATCCACCGGACTTAAGGCCTAAACAATGGGGCAGGGTCGCACAGTAAGAATCTACCCCTGAAGGTCACAGGATTCGAAGTGGGTGCTGGGCCGCTGAGCGCGCATATGAGAATGCTGGCTGCACCTGATGAGCTCTGGGCAGGAGTAAACACGTATTGACGGAACAGCCCGCTCCAATCTAAATGCGAAGAATTTACGTTTTTAAATATTTAGTCGTAGTCTCCTTGTAAACTTAATATAGCTCTAACCAATTTCCAAAGTGGCAAAGTCTCCGAAACTCCGCGACTTGAAGTTGGCCGGGCCAAGGAACGGGATTGCAGAGACCCATCAACCAATCACTGAAAGAGGGAAAGCAATATTTTCGCGAGGAGCACAGACACCAAGAAAGAGGAATTGCCACATTTGCTCGGCACCGCCACGGGTCTATCCGCAAACGGCAATCAAGTTCGAATTGGCAGAACACACCGGGTTGGTCCGGATGCGGTCGTGGACTGACCCACTCAGCAGAGCCAGATAAATGGTACTTCTCCAGGGTCAAAAAATTGTCCCCGAAACGGCAAGAACTAGCCACTGACTACACATACCTCAACAATACTTCCGTAGAAGAAACCAAAAATGAAGTGCCCGAAGATTTTTGGTACAGGTTTCACATCTGTTTGCATAATTTATGACCGGTGTCACAAAATAAATTTAATAGTAATAAAAATCTTGTTCATCGATGTCTGTCTGGCCTGTGCATTTACAGGCTTACGCCTAGGATATCAGCGCAGTAAATATAAGAGCGTCCCGTCCAACTTATCAGGGACGAGTACCTCGGTATGGTTATCGATTAACACGGTCCCTTCCTTTCACATTTCCTCATAACTCCACTGAACCTTTTTGCAACAGTCTGTCAATCCACTCGCCCCATATATTATTATTGGGTCTGCTGCGCTTTAACTTCCTGTGAACGTTGGGAGCTGTTCCTGATTACTGAACTTGTTGTGCTTGGCGAGACCACTCTATGGGTCGAACTGAAAGCAGCAACAACCATCTCCTTACCTATTTTGACTTCGGGCTGTGTCGGACTTGGTGCGCCCCCGCTCAGCGTTCAGACGAATCGTGAAGACAATAATCTCTTCCCCTGACCGTTGAAGGACAGATGAGCGGCAAGGGGAGGTTGTGAGGAAGTAAAGATTCCATTTCTGGCCCTGCGTACTCGACTATAAAAGGAGAAGAACTCGGCCTACCATTCTTCAGTTCGCCCAATCCAAGCAAACTACAGTAGCATGTTCGCCAAGTCCCTTATCCTCTTTGCTTCGATTGCTGCCTCCTCGGCACTCGCCGTCGGGCCCACCCCTGTATGCAACTCTCAAAACATGCTCTTCACCTTACCTGATCACATTGTAGGATGTCGGCTCCACGATTACCGTGTGCACCAGCAGCAACGCCAAAGATGGATGCCTCAATATCCCCATCAACTCAGACACTTGCCGCAGCTTCACCGGCGGCCTCAGCTTCCTCAACGACGAGATATCCAGCGCGAAAGTTCCTGACGGATTCATCTGCACCTTCTTCGAGTGCGATTCTTTGCTTTGAATGCAATGCATAAGATAATAAACTGATATTTGACCTCACAGTGCCGCGGGGTGCGTCAGCAACACGGACACCGATGTGGTTCTTCTGCAGGGTGGGACTTGGAACTTCCTCGCTGTACCTGGGATCTTTGGCACGGTCAACTTCAACGACAGATCGAGCTCTTTCACCTGCTCTACCTTCTAGGAAAAGTCGTCGATATAATCTAAATAAAAATCATGGCGAGCGTGTAGTTATTCGGAACCCTGTATATTTGTGTTGTGTGGATGCTATGGAAAATTTTCGTGGATTTATGTGACAATGGGCTTGAAAAGAGCATAGGAAAGAGAAAACCCCAAGCCAACTTCAGAGAAGTGTTGAAATCAAACTTTCCCTTCAGGTAATTATTGCCATGTCAAGAAGTGTAAAGGGCTCTCTCGCAAGTAGATACATATTTTAGTGTTTTCCATGAGTTCAAAGGAATACCTGAACTACCAGATTACCGCAGTCTTCGTACTGCCTCGTGGTCTAAGGGTAACGACGTCGGTATTCTCTGAATTCTTATTCATGGCCGGAGGTCGCGGGTTCGAGTCTCACCGGGGTAGGCGTATTTTTTGTTCCTTCTATGCCACCCGTCAGAAATAAAGCGGCTCACAGTCTGAATGTCCAATGACGGATGGATGAGTACACGATCACGTGATCGCGAAAACCTTTTTTGATTGTTGTTTGCGGACCTTGTGCGGACCAATCGCGGCTTCGATGGGCGAGAAAGGAACGTTGCCCTGGACTCGGAGGTCAATAATGGACATAGTGATTTTCTTGTGATTCTCCAAGATCTCCCACGACCGTGCCGTGTAAACCTACCTACCTACCACGTACCTGAGCGTTGCCAGACAACGCAAATTTACGTGAAGTTGGCGACTCGGTACATTCTTGGCGTATGTATTTACCAAGTACCTTACTTACCCTCCCTGCAACAGTGGCGACCTTACACGTATTTTGACAAGCAACTGGTTCGTTACCGCTGACACTTATATTTATATTAATCAATGCTCAAACATAAATGTTCTTATTCATGACAAGAACTACTTAGAAGTTCTGGAAGACCCCGATGGATTTTACGAGTCCACTGCTCCTGAGCGGGACCGTGCCGTGTAACATGCCTACCTACCACCGTGACCGATCTGCTGGCCTTAGAAGCCAAGTTCCGGTATTTAGTGGCATCGGTACATATTATTTTAAGAGAATTGCAAGCCGGGGAAAAAGAACTAGAGTCGCTTCTCCGCCTTCGAGAACTGATGCCTTAAAACTGGAAGTTGGAAGCCTTGACTACAGTTGCTCAACAGTTGCTGATACAAAACGTCGGGCAAATCCTGTAAAAGGAGCCCGAGATGATTGGACTAGATATAGATATACGTCGTTTCATAGTAAGCTCTCAGAGTCACCGCAATTTTCCTATTAATCCTTTCGGCTTTATAGCCCTGTCTGCTCCAAAATACTAAATAAATGTCTGAACCGGAAGACGGGCCGATGTCACCCGTTTACAGGCCGTGCGAATTTGTTCTCCACGCTGTCCAGACGGTTGCCATTTCAAATCCTCGCGTCGTCAGCTCCTCCAAGCTTTCTCCGAGTCCCAACTTTCTCCTGCAGGCACACTAGACTTGCCATAAACGCAGAGTTCCCATGGTATCATAACAGTTCCTCACTGGAAGGGACCACTGTGAGACTCAATAAAGGTATGTGAGTATTCTCATTAGTCGGGAGCCAAGCTTGTAGCTCGGGTGAGGAGTACCCGAGGGAGCTAAACGACATTCGGGGCTAGGCGGAGTCCCCCACGTCATTCAGCAGCATTTAGCCTGATCCATGCCCGATTGGAGGGCTGTTTCCCAGGACTCGAACACCTGGCTAAGCGGCAATCTTTTAGGCACTTCGGCGACGCTCGACGTCCCTCAACTTTCGACGCCCATGGTGGACTCTACCTCGAGGCGCTCTATCGGCATTCGACACTCCTGGAACGCGAAAGACCCTGATTTCTCGGCCTATTATGAGCGGAACGCTGGACGTCTGCTCGTTGACCCAAAGTAAGTGATGCCTTGGTGTGCATGTCTGTTATTCAAGTACGATCCTACAGAGAGGCGGAGGTCGAGTTCGGAAAGGACGCTGCGGCACTTCTGAAGCTTTCTGCTGATGGTCAATATGTGCTATGGCCACAGCCAAGTTCGGACCCGGAGGATCCTCAAAATGTGTGTGGGAGAGCTTCCTAATTTCAGCAATTGCTCAAAGTATTCCAGTGGTCGGATCGGCGGAAGGCCATGCAACTCCTCATCATCACATTGGCCGCTAGTCTTCCCGACTTTATTGGAAGCATCGGCATTGCTACGATATTTGCCCTCGCCAAAGAGTTCGACGCGACTCCAAACCAGGTGAATGCATTGTCGGCCAAGTAGGTTCATCCCCTATGGATCGCGCACTTCAATTAATCGGTGCTCCAGCTGGGGGATCTTTCTACTGGGATGGGGCGGATTTGCTGCCATTATTTTAGTACGACGATGGGGCCGACTTCCCGTTCTCTTCTGGTCTCAGCTCCTCGCTCTGGGTTTCCTTGTCGGATCCGTATTTGCCACCAATCTCAAAACCTTCGCGGCCACGCGCTGCATCGCATCCTTCTTTTCCACTGCCCCGCAGATCACTGGTTTATACACCGTAACTGATATGTATCCCTTTCATCTTCAAGCCAGGAAGGTGCAGCCGCCGCTCTGTCTTTCTATTTCGGGCTCATATGTACTGTGATGTCAGCTCAACCTCTGGACCCTGGGCTTCATAATGTCCCCCTTCCTCTCTCCTTTCTTTCTGGGTTTTCTGGTAGCACATGCAAGGTTTGTCTCCTACCTTCGAGCGATCACAGCTGAACCAAATTCAAGCTACCAATGGGCGTGGGGGATCGGAGCAATATTATCCCTCATCGTGCTGGTATTAGTCGTGTTTTTTGGTGAAGAAACGTCTGCCATCTCCTCTTTACCCTACCTATCTCTATATCTGAGAGTGTGTCGTACTACAGGGCATACGATCGTTACCTGCCGGCTCCCCCACGGCGACAGACCCTGGGCCTCCGCTATCGTGTCGAGACCTTGCTAGGTATCACCGGCATCAAGATGACTGCATTCCGTCCTAGTTGGTCAACCTGCTTTTTGTCTGTTTTGAAGGTGCTTTGGCGACCACACGCGCTGCTAATAATGATCTTTGGGGTGCGCATTTACCATGCAATAATTATGTGAAGGTTTGACATATATTTCGCAGGGCATCGAGTTTGGATTGAGCATCGGTGTGTTTTTTTAAAATGTCTATATTTGCCGTGATACTGAAAACGATCCAGGCATAACCATCACCAACGCCATATTTCTCGGGCAACCGCGTCCCGGAGGATTCGGGCTCAGCCAAACAGCTATCGCAGGATCCTATGCCACTCCCATTGTCGGTGCATTTTGAACGGCGCATAGAGTTTCTGCTAACCTGTAAATTGTACGTCCTCAGGTTGCATGTCTTGTCGGCGAGGTTATGGGTCGATACGGAAACGACAAAATTGCCGCGATTGGTATACGGCGGAACAAAGGGGTTTTTGTAGCAGAAACGCGGTTGTGGTGCGTCTCTTCGCGGTTTGGCGGTATCCACGGCTCACCGTATCCCTACTAGGATGTGCTATCTTTCCCTACTCCTGTACCTCACCGGCTTCATCGTCCTTGGGCATGGCGTCGAAACGCGCAACGTCCCCGCAGTCATCATGGGCTGGGGGATTGGTCAGGTACGTACACCTTTATCGCTACTGAATGTACTGGCCAACGGATACACGATGTTTGGAATAGGTCGCAATAATGTTGAATACCACCGCCCTATGTCTGTCGTCTTATTGATTGGCCTCAGTCCCGTTGCTGACCGTACTGTGCGCAGATGCCTACCTAACGGACTGCTTCCCCGCACACTTGGGCGAAGTCAGCGCATTGTTCAATTTCTTCCGTACCATCTCCGGCTTCGCGGTAGTGTACTTCCAGGCCCAGTGGCTCGAGGCGGCTGGCGGGTTTATTGTCTTCGGCGCTGAAGCGGCGTCAGTCACTCCTGCTTACTGCTCCATTCAGCCTTTTACTAATATATCTGTCCGCAGAATTGTGTTCGGTTTATTCCTTCTCGTCGTGCCGCTGGTGCAGCTCAAGGGCGCTGCTATGAGGGTAAGCGCCCTTGAATTTGGCGTGACCACCCCAACTTACTTGTGTCTCAGGCCAAATACCCCCTCCACCCAGAAACGCGGCAACCTGCAGCCAATCGCGCTGAAACATTCCGACTGTCGCATGATTCATTCCGCATGTCGCTGTCCCAGCGACCGCCTGCCCAAAAGACAGAGCCGATAGACGCCGTCGACATTCCCGTCGATAAAGCGGTGCTGCAGCAATCGACGTCGAGCCTAGTTGAAAGCCCGTGATTATAACTGCTTGGTTGAGGCCCCATAATTCCTTTCCCCCCCTTTCCTTGAATTTTTCGTTTTCTTATCTTTTCGTTTTCCGGAACACATGGTAAAACAGGTTGTGTATCGTATCCTGGATTTTCATCATTTCTTGGCTTGTATTATACTGTACCAGTATGTCTCTGTATTGTTGTAATTTACTACGTATCGTAAAATTAAAATAATAATCCTTCCTTGCATGTAGCGAGACATGGGAGAGGAGGTGGCATTTTTTTGGTACATAAAGATCGGAGAAATTATTCAAGTCAATATCAAACTAAGTTGGACGCGCATGGGACACGCCCTTGCTTTGATAATTTCCGAGCTGGAGACCGTTAAATCCGTATGAAACGTCATCCAAGCCAGTCTGGACGTATAAAGGAATGTCCCGTAATGGTTTGGGCATACAACTAGCGAGGTACGAGTTATTGGAGTCTGTCTAGGAGACTAGTTTGGGCGTCAAAGTTTTGGGATCGGTACCGGATCATTGAACGTTCTGATAGATTTTCTTTTTCTGAAAATATGGAGACCGTGACGGTGTTTATAGATTGCGACGATTGAGGCGGGATGAACGTCATACCACCACCATGCGCCAGTAGCCACGCGAAGGTCGTCCATGAGAATCGGCGCCCTTTCATTGACAAGGGCCACTGCTGCATCAATTTCAACCACTGCCGCAGCAAATGAGACCAGACGATGTATCGATGAGCAACGGTTGTTTAACGCATGCCCTGCCAGGAAAATGAGGGAACACATCTTGTAGCGTCCTAATCTTGGTACCGGTAGGACAAGTGTCAGGCGGCTAACTCCGAAGATTAGTGATCTGTGATTTGATCCACGTTCTCACGGTTTGCTCTCTCACTCAAACTGAGCTGTATTGATACTTCCCGGCGTGATCTGCAGGTGGTCTTTCTGTCGAGCAGTGATGTTTCAATGGGACTGCTGGTTTCTTCGCAAAATGCTCCCCATGTGTCATCATATGTACAAGGTAAAAACATTCTGGTCCAATTCTGGTCGGTACTGAACTCATACATGAATCCCTCTTTGCACCACGACAATCTAACAAGGGAGTAGAATATGAACGAGCTTGCCCTGTCATGGAAGTTCATGGTG